AGCCGAGGATCATTTAAATAAGCAGAGCAGAAAAGCGGATAAAAGAAAAGAGGATAGCCTAAATGCAGTGAAGCAGTGAATAGCTGTTTTAGTTGTAATTGATGAGGCGGCTCATGAGACTGAGTTTTTGAATGTTTGTGCGTCTCTACGCTTCATGTTGAAGAGGAATGAGTTTCAGTAAACTGTTGTGTTGTTACCATCTCCCCTCAGCCTTTGACACCAGTTTAGCCACAACCACAAGTAATGATAAAACATTAAAGACGAGGCACTGACAAGGCAGGGCCATCCGGGGCCACTTAAAACCAATACCACAGGCCAGGATCAGCCTTCCATCAATTATAACCTTATTACCCTAATCGTTATGAAATAATCCAATCTACAGGACAGTTGAGTCGCAACACTGCAGAAAGCCAAGTAAACCAGGAGGGGAGTGGGATTTATGGTGTAACATATTGGGACTTAATATAACAAATATACAAAATGCTATGCATTGTTGAGCTGCGGACTGGATTGCTGCCAAATCATTTTAACTGTCCTTTTTTTTTAATATTCAAATTCAAACTTTATTTGACCCCTTTTAGTCTATTAACCATGATCAGTTGGCAATTTACCAACATACTTTTGCTGTTACAATAAACACAACCTCAGTGTGTGATTGTATAAAATACACAGACACGATTCATCAAGACCCTCTCTTATGGACTGCATTTATACTGTGCTTTTCTAGTTTATGCGACTTCTCAAAGTGGTTTTACAACCCAGTTGTAGGCAGAGGCTTTCACCTTTTTTCAAGGAGTGATACATCTTCACACACACACACACGCACGCACGCACGCACGCACGCACGCACGCACGCACGCACGCACGCACGCAAGGGAGCAATTTGGAGTTCAGTATCTTGCCCACACTTCAACAAGTTGGCCGCAGGGGCCCGGGGATCGAAACTCCGTCCTCCCTATTGGTGAACAACCACTCCGCCCCCTTTATCAGCTGATATCTATCTTTATGCAGTCTGTGGTTTTTGTATATTCATGTCGTCACACAATTCAGACAGTAACAAATATTCGTTGAAGTTTTGGTTGTAATTTTCGCCCTTTAGCACATGTGTTTTCACCTACAATGCCTAAAGCAAATATGCATCTGTTCCTATCCACTGTATTGTTTCCGTTGACTTTGATTGCGTTGCATGCCACCTATAGATATATCTGTTTTGTAAAGAGATTGTAACTGAACTAAAGCATTGGAAATTGGGTTTTGTGACCAACTAAGGCACTTGGAGAACATTTAACCTAAAGTCCAACTGTGCTTATACATTTGTTTATCTTCATTTCCCACTATGCAAGTATTTACATTAAATCTATTCATTTCTATGCATTACATGTACAACCCACTTTGCTGTTATCCAACGCAATGTGCATACAACTGCAGAGAAAGGATGGAAATATCAAGAAATAAAAAATAGACCAGAGATTATCATGTGACTATGCTGTCATGTAAGTCGCTTTGGATAAAATGTAATGTAATGTCATACTGATGTGATGTCATACTTATGTTAATTATGTGCACTATTTATTGATAAATACTCAATTAATAAATCAGTGTTGCGATCCACTGTATCACATTGATGTTTGCCAACAGTGATGAAAATACATTTCTTATTTTTTTCACGTGTGCTTCCATTTGAGAATTTACGGTAAAAGCATCACTAGCAAATCAAACAATGAGGTGGGTTTTGGGACACTGTGCCGCAGTCACACCCTCCATGGGAACGATGACACAAAACAGCAGGGGGAGGAGTTCAGACAGCAAAAGCAAGTGGGAGATGTTAAAGGAAGTGAAAGGTGACAGAAAAAAGGAGAATAAAGTTTTGAGAGCCAGCTGGCCGACCTCTAACTCGCTGAGGAGAAAGCAGTACTTCATCGTCTCCTCAAGGCGGTCGAGAGTACACATCAGATTGTTATATTGTTATATAAAGGAGAGAAAGAGTCCATCCTACCACTATCTCTATAATGCCACTCCTCTTATCTCTCTCGCTCCATGTCTCTTTCTCCTCCTCTGGGATTTGACAGCAGGATGATAAATAACTAGTCATGGGTCGACAGTAGTCTTCAGTGCGCATGCAGCAGCAGCCAGTGGGCACTACTAACTTGAAAATGAGTCCAAAGGGGCCAAAAAAAGACATGGTTTCTTCCCCACATCTGTTGCAGTTCAGACATATGTTCTGCTGACTTGCCGGTTACAGGGAATGCTATTTTGTTCAAGTTGCATGGTGAAAGTGTCACCTAGATCAAACTGACTCTAGTTCTTTGTCCTTGTAAATAAGCTTTACTAAACACTGACATGAATTCGGATGACAGGGAATGGAAAAGCGGATGGAAAAATGTTTGCCTCTCACACAAGACCTTTTCTGTTATGCTAAAGTCAGGTTAACCTCCTTGAGGCGAAGTTTAAAGTTAATCTCTTGTGTTTTATTAAATATATATTGTTCAGTTTTTGAATGTTGTATTCATGCCTGAGCTTAAGAGCAACCAAATAGACCTTGACTTCAACATTGTTTTCTGAGATTCTGCTGAGTAGGGGAAATGTCTGATAAATACTAAAACAGACTCTACTTGACACTCATTGCCAGTGACATTGTTGGTGTAATGCGACACGTTGCAGAATCTACCCTAGTTCATCCTTATTTCCCCACGCTGACAGCTAAAGCATCCACAGCAATGGAAACACGAGGACTTGATGTGGAAAATATATTGCAAAAAGACTGCTGTGTACTTTCACACGTACACGGACACAGATACTCAAACATACACAGACTCACAGTGTGTAAATCATTTAGAAATATCCATCCACGGTTGTATGCACAAGATGTCAAATTATGTCATGTTACACATTTTCATTTGTGACATTTATACAGTGGTAGATTAGCGAGAAGGGCAGTGTGTATTTATGTGTGTGTGTGTGTGTGTGTGTGTGTGTGTGTGTGTGTGTGTGTGTGTGTGTGTGTGTGTGTGTGTGTGTGTGTGGTGTCCACAGAAACCCACCTTATCTTCGACTGCAAATCAAATTATTAGCGCAGAGCAATTTACTGTACAGACTCTTTGCATGTGTGCAGGACGTCCGTACGTGCACGTGTTCGGTCATGCATATAATACATGGCTCTCAGTCGGCAATAAGCATGACAGATGATTCATCCGAGCAGTCATGTTATGTTGGAGCAATATTTAGATAATGATATAATGCATTATATCATTACAGATGCTACAAAAGGACATCTCAGTGTGGCCATTATAAGCCCAAGGGATATTTGAGTGGCAGACAATAGGAACCTTTTTACAATAAAGACAATAGTCAAGCATCTCTTTATTATGACAACATGTAAACTTACAGTACACCATTTCTAAGAATAGTTTCATAATGCATCCTCTTTTTTTAAACTTGTTTTTTACCACATATTGTATAATTTGAAACCTTTTTGCCAGGATTAAAAGAAGGCGGTTTATATCCCTCATCATCCACCATTGTTAACTCCTCCATTGTTCAGGACAATTTTTTTTAATATGAAACGTACTAATTATGTTTGATGAAGTCCAAACATCATTATCATTATAACCTCTGTCATAAAACATAGCCTGCAATGTCTGTTATTCACTATAAAGGATGTACAATTCACTCTGTACCACCAATGTGTTCTTCCCCTGTCCTCTGCTTTACATCTAGGCTAGATTGCGTCAACATTTACAGATGTATTTATAACTCAGTTCAAAGCAACCTTTTGTTGTGTACATTCATAAAGTATTTTTTTGTTCCCTGTATAGGGAATATATTTCGGACTTGTAATGAAAATCTATAGATTTGGTGTGCTTGTGTAATGCTCTTATTTCATGTAAGAGATTCTGATTCATCCATAAGAAGCTCTACACTCATTTGTACGAGCATTTATTGCATACATGAACATGGATTATGTTAATTAAATATTATATGAATTATTACGAACATCTGTTTATACATTTATGAACAGTTTGTATTCCTCACTTACAGTGCGTATGCAGGGAGTTATGTGACCTATGGTTTGATGCACTCTTTTAGGCGTGATGATTAGCTAATAGCAGGTGCTAGCTTCACTAGGAGTCCCTGGAGACTCGCACAGGAAATGCCAGTTTATTGCTGCAGGTGATAATACTGCATGATGCAAATAGATTATCACATTGACAAAAAAAATAGGTGCGAAGTAAATCATTTGTCCCCACTTGTGCACTTATAGAGTTGAGAAGATGGGTGAGAAGAAATTACGAAATGAACACAGACAAAATCAACATGACATAATACAGGCCCTGTTAGGAGCATGCACCTGCATATAATGCATATTTAAACTAATCTCAAATACATATTTATAACACAATTTAATTTAACACCACTATTTGTGTCATTACATGATAGGGAAATAATTATAAAAATAAGCCTGGCTTCTTTCAGTGTTAACAAGCATTATTGTTGCAAACAAACCTAACAGCATCTGATAACATTAATTATTTAGATTGTTGAAATTGTATAAAAATAGTTTTCAATTTGGTAGTGAAAGGTGAATTCAATTCAGACCCATTCAATTATAAGTTATAGTTGAATTTTATTTTACTATTGATTTGTGGGCATAGTGAAACACCTGAAGACAACAAATCCTATTCGGAATCCTGTGCAAGACAAAGTAAACATGAAATATGCGAGTTGTTGTGAGAGGGTCTAACACTGTATGTATTGACTGTCAAAGTGATGATAGCAAGCCCAGCAACATCCACATTCATTAAACAGTGAAATTCAGGATCACCAGGATATCTGATCAGTCCTGTGAGAATCAATAGAGGTCCTGGTTGATTTACATGTGAGTGTGTGCATGCGTTTCATCATCCAATGCAACCCTCCCTAATTCTTAAATTTCCTATCTCTGCACCCCTTCCACCTGTCTTCCTCTCCCCCCTGCTCTCACCTCTATGTCTCCCACCTAGATGGTTTATAAGCCCTGGCTGTGTTCTCAGTACTTCCAGACCACCCAGATGCACTGCAGCAAGCCAATCCCCTGTGGTCAGTACTGCCTGGAGGTGCAGCAGCGGTGCCCCTTCGTCCTGCCTGACAATGATGATCTCATTCATGGAGGCAGCCCAAGTTTTATATGCACAGGTAAAAGAAAGTCTTACAGTTTATGGATTATTTCGACTGATTTAAGCTCATTGGTTTGTTTAACCCTAGTTTTAAGATAAGTAGGCCTACTGTACATGCAGCTGCCTAGTAAAGTACTGAACAACTCATGGATAACACGGCATTACCTCCACAAATAGTGGACTTTTAAATACAAGTAACATTCTTATTTAACCTCAATCTCTTGATCACACACACACGCACGCACGCACGCACGCACGCACGCACGCACGCACACACACACACACACACACACACACACACACACACAGTGAGCTTATTGAGCATAGTGTCTTGCTCATAGATATGATACCCAACCTCTGATGGCCACACAGCAAACACTCGTGACTTTACAGTTACAGGATGTTCTGTTTAATAACCAGAAAACACGGTGTTACACCACACCACAACATGGTGGCCAATTACTGACAGCACCAAGAGGCAGTTGCACAACTGAGCAGTTTGAGAGAATGCAATTCAATGCAATGAAATAATGTTTGCAGCAGTGGAAACACTCACACATGTGTACACAAAGCTGAATGCTAAATATATGGTTAACCTTAACCAAATGATGTTCTCCTCATACATGGAAGGTGAGTGGGGGCAGTGTTACTGTGAGATTTCTTTTTCATCCAGAACATACTGAGACACTCAGTCACATCACAAAGGTAATGCTGCCCCCTGGTGGTCAAGTTGAGCATCAGGTTACCTAAATGTACAGTTTTATGGCAAGCCATTTGAGTATTTATTCAATTTCCTTGATATCAGACGGCAGCGGCCTACACTAGTTGGCTCTTTGATTTCACTTGTTAGATATAGGTCAAACTAGTTAGGCACTCTGCTTTACTAGTTAAATAAAATATTACACTAGTCGCTCTTTTTCAGCAACTAGTGGCACTTTTGTCCTACTAGTTACCAAGTATGCCTTACTAGTGACGCCAGGAGCAGCACTAGTAACGCCAAAGTCCCAACTTGTAAGCTTTTTGATTAACTAGTGGCCCTCTGACCGTACTAGTGACGCTTACAAGTTAACTAGTGCGCTGCAAAAGCTCTGACATGTTAAAAAGTGCCACTAGTTGCTGAAAAAGAGTGACTAGTGTAATGTTTTATTTAACTAGTAAAGCTGAGTGCCTAACTAGTTTGACCATATATCTAACAAGTGAAATCAAAGAGCCAACTAGTGTAGGCCGCTGTCGTCTGATATCAAGGAAATTTAATAAATACTCAAATGGCTTGCCATACAGTTTGGCATAAGCTAATACAAATACTGTTTGTGGTTTTTCTTTTTGTCCGTTTTTCTTGTTATCATTTGGGCTGATATATAAAAAATGCTGCTTTTGTCCATTTTTTTATTTTGAAGGATGAGGCTTGTTTTTATTAAGAAATTATTTAAACCTTACCTGTGTGTAAGTTTGTTTTTTTCCCGACCCCAACTCCCAAAGACATAACTTTTTATCGGAAAATACAACAAAAAAAAACAGCAAATGTTGATATTTTAAGAGCTTTAGTATTTTGCATTTTTGAGAGAAACTATTATTTACTATCAATAGTATTCTCTGTAGTTTCTGTCATTTGACTACTTTGAATTATTGCTTCAGCTCCAGCTTCAAAAAATTAAAATACAAGCAAATTAAGAAAAGCATAAAACAGATTTTTAAGGGACACTTAAAACAGATGTGAATGTCTGGAAGACAGATTTTGTGTTGGAAAGTTGGGTAACAATGTTTATTCTTGTGTTATTTTTTTCATTTGCTTACATTTTCTACATTCTGGTGCACTGAGCTCTCTTCTTGGCTAGTTTAAAAATGTTTGAATTTAAAAAGGACTTAATCTCACTGTGATCTGTTTTCCCCTCAAACAACCCCCAGGGCTGCTGGAGGACTACCCATCAGGTGTTGACCCGAATGCAAAGTGCTGCGACGTGCGGTGGGACTTGAAAGTGGACAACCGTTCCCGGGGGACGCTGAAAAGAACTCACCCGCCATGCCAGCACCGAACCTCCCTCAGCTCGTCGGCAGCCTGCAGACTGTGTAACAGCCGGCTCAAACTCTGCCTGCTGGTCCTTGTCCTCCTACACACTGTTGCCAGCCTCACTGCATCCCACAATGCAACAGGACTGGGCATCCCCACCATCACGCCTCTGGAGGAGAGCCCTGCCAATGAGGAGTGATAGAGCTGCCAGGAGGAGGTGAGGTTGTCCGGGTGGGGGAATCCCTCACCATGGCAACCAATGTGGAAAAATACAGCCACAGTTGTGCGACGGGCTGGAGCTGTGTGCCTGTGGACACTCTGCAACGCTTTCTGGCAAATGGAAAATGTGGGACGCTTGGAGACGAAAGACACACAATTCAATCAACAAATACATAAGAAAACAAACAGACACACTAAGGGACTCCAACAGTCCCTTAGGTAGAAAGGGGACAATGCCACAGCCTTTGTTGAGTGGGAAGGCCGGCTTCCCCATGGCTGAGTTTCTCTCAATACGCTTTTTTACACTGTGTTCCAATTATTGGTTTCTGTTGCACTGGCTGACTAAGGGATAACACAATCATATTCTCTTTCTAATGTTCATCCTTTTTGAGTTTTATTTCTGGTTCTCTCATACAGGAAGAAAATGTGTTCTCTAAATAAGACAGATAATACGTTAAAATAATAATTAGCTGCGAGTTTCTTTGCGATTGATATGCGTTTCTGAACTGTGTGCGAGTGTGCATGGGTGTACTTGTATGTCTTTACACGTGTGAATGTGTGTGCAGGTGAGGATGAGTGTGTGTTGGTGACAAGTATCATACAAGGCGAGTTAAAAGGCTGATGTGGCAAAGATGCCCCCCCCAACTCCCTTTCAGATGTCACTTAGCTCTGCTGTGCTGGTGTGTTGGCCACAATCACTAGGGAAATGGGATTCAAATGTGCTTCTGAATTAGTTCTGGGGTAAACTAAGGTTTATAGTTTTTCTACACTAGGATGAATCGTGAGATAATATTTACCAATAACACCATTTTAAAAGATCCAAAGCAAACCCTGAAATATGCAACACGTCACAACCGACCAGGATGCATTCCTTCAGCCTCACAAACGATATCTCACTTTCTGTTTTTATGCCAAATACATTAATCTTGCTAAACTGATATCTTAATATATAATAAGCATAATATATGCTAAGTATGTGTCATCTGACCTCTTGTGGACTCATTCTAAGGACGTGTTGACAGATCTCAGCAATAACTTGTTGTGTAAAATGTGATCATTATCTATAAAACTGAAAGCCAAAACTATAAAAGTAACATCTAAGACGTATTAAACCAGAGTGATCATTAAACCTTAAGGCCAACACTACAATAGGGCTGAGCCATATAAACAAAGTTACATAATTACAATTTGGAAATAAAAAACTATATTAATATATATGTAAAATAAGAAATATGAATATAAACATCTCAGGTTGCATTCTGCTGTGTTTTGAATGAAGATAGAAAAGCATGCAATGAGATGCCAAAGAACCTGTTTAATGCTTTTAGTCAATATAATGTCAAAGTTAGGAGGTAATCTTTACATTGGTTATAGTAATTGTCGTTTAATTTCCTGTTAATAATACTAGTTGACGAAACAGTATTTAGCCACTTGTAATAAAAATGAAATTAAACACAGATGGGATTATTTGTATTTCATATAGAAAACATGAAACTCTTTTAAGCTTGTCTTATCCAAAGCTTTTATTTTAGGCCTTTTACTAAAACCCCATTCAGATTGTGGTCACATAACATTTCTCAGCAGAGTTTATTGACATCAAAAGATATCACTGGATCAATATATACGATACCCTGTTGTTCTTGACAAAGAAGCTTGTCTTATTTTAGATTTGAAAAGGTATTATCCAGTCAAAATAGTTATCCACAGCATAAATAATTACTAAATTGTCTTTCTGGCTCTAAAGACTTGTTTTTTCCCCTAGGCCTGCTGTAACCAGCAGTTAAAGTAGAAATACATTTTTCCTGTTAACACTGCATTAAAAAGACTAAATTTACTGTTTGCCCTCGAACCAATTCTGATGTCAATACTGGTGGTTTCATTTTATCCTCAAGCTTTCTCATTCACAGGAATCATAATGACTGGATGTTGCCTTTAAGTACTATAATGGTTATATTCCAGTTATATATATATATATATATATCTGGAACTCCCGTGCAGATAGGATGAAAATAAAATGTGTCCCTGGGAAAGGTAGCATGCAGTTATGTGAAGGAAAATCCCCTGTCCATAATACAATACATATCACCAACACGGGGACAACTGCTTCGACTGTTGAATCTAAATGTGTAATGGATGTTAACAAACTGCATGTGGAGCAAGAGTACGACAGCCTCTTTTGTTTATTGTCCCCACTCCGCACTCCACATCTTATCCCAAATCAGCTCCTGTAGCATGCCCACTGTCACATACTTTCTCCTAAAAACATCAAACTAATGTCTCATTAAGTAAAGGGCTTATTAAGATAAACAGTACAACACATTATAATCAACATTCACATTCAAATATTTAGCAGACGGAGGGTGAAAAATGGCTAATTTCCTGTTTCTTTTAAAAGTGTGTACCTGAAGTACCGAGGCACTCCACAGGCCGCTGCTGCAGAACAGAAACAAACCAGAGAGGAGTGTGTTTGTTTAAGCACTAATGGAATAACTGGATAATAGTAAACTGACACTTGTGTTTATTTTCTAAATGTTGACCAGCGTGTGAACAGAAAGGAATGGTGTGACTTTAAGGGCTGACTTCTTTTTAGTTTCAAGATTGTTTTTCCTTTGATGAACAAGGCTATGAGATCAGGTAATCAAAGATAAACAGATGTTGTTTAATGCATTTTTCCACTCTTAAGTAAGTTGATTACTCAAATGAGATGTCCAATCTGATATCTGATGTCAAGAACTTTATTATACAGCTTATATGAGGATTTTCAAAATTCATCTTTATTCACAACATGTCTAAATAACCAGTATATTGGATTATGTTGACGCTGTACCTTTTTTTGTGTTTGGACCCTGCCCCACTCTGAACATTACCACTCCAGCTTGCATGAAAAACGTAACAAATCATTGTCATTCAGCACAGCACACCCATGCCCATCTCAGACGGCCGCAGTCGGTGATAGAAAAATGCTGCTACTCTATTGGTCACCAGTAGATAGACATATCTTTTATTATATTATATTGCTACCGCTGCCGAAGACCTGTCACACAAGGACGTTCATACACAGGAAGCCTGAGCTCTGGTGGAAAAGGTGATGGGTCCATGTTTGTGTGTGGATGTGTGTCCGCGTGCATGTGTGTGGAGTGTGTGTATGCAAAAATGTGTGTTTGTGTCTGTTGCTAATTGCTGTGTGATCTTTGGAGAGCTCATTAGCTCTGCTATGACCTTGGGGCCTTAGGGACAGTTGTGGCAAACCACCACTGTCTTTACAGGCACCTGCTGCATTAGTCAACTCATTATTCACTGCAGCCTTTAAACTGTCTGGACATTACTATAAATTCATTGTAACGTACAATGTCAAATAAATGTGTTAGCGCCTAAGACCCCAAACTGACCAAGGTAGGGGTGTATCTATTTGTTTCCTTTCACATGCCCTTCAGAATATATCCCAACACCCTTTTCTGAAATGAGATGGAGCAATGAACTGAAACTGGGGCCAAAGCCTATCAAGTCAAATAAACCAAATTTAGATCTGATATGACACTAGGCAACCCTGTCTCCTAAAAATTACGTTCCCACAGAACTAAACTGCATTCTGAATTACGTTTAGCAAGAAACGTATTTTCTCCCACGTTACGTTTGTTATGAACGTATCTCAAATACGTTTATTTTCTACATAGGCTACCTTCTAGAAATTTTCTCCCACGTTACGTTAGTTATTAACGTATCTTAAATACGTTTATTTTCTACATATCTTTGCCATTTATTGTCTTGCTTATAATAATGACAATAGTCATTTATAAATATCATTTTAGAGCACACCTTTGAAATCGACAATCGGGCTCGATATATGGTTAAATTAAAATCAGTAGGCGAGGCTGTAATTTCGCCAGCTGTTACTCTCATGAGCGAGGCAGAAAATAATAGTTTTAACATGCCAAAAAGCTGCTGCGTCGTTTATTGCACCTCAAACATTAAAACAAATCCAAAGTTACGTGTTTCTGTAGCCTACTTCCTCTAAGAAGAAAGGACAGTAAAAGAAGATCTCTGTGGCTTCAGGCTTGATCGCCATTCAAATGAAAGCGTTGGTTTCCCCAAAAGTGGGCGGGGCTGTAAAGTGACGTAGATTTTACTCATCTATTATTCAAAACCATTCTATTTATTCTAACGTAAATTACGTGCCTGTGTTTTATCTTTTTATTTATTTGTTTTTATTTTAAATCATATAATGTCTGACTTTTTCCCGTCTGTGAGGAAAATAAATGGGGCTTAGAGCCTCAAAATACTGAAATCTGTATTTTTTTAAATCTTTTTTTCCTTCTAATTTGTTATTCTTTTCTAAATAACACACTGTTATTTACTCAACAATAACACACAATTATCCTTGTTTTTATTTATTCGTTTAATTCTATAATCTTGGGCTTTTTAGCATGATTTTTAGCCGTAAATAAAGTCACCGGAAACAGACGGGACCTTTCGAGCAATACACACCACAAACCCACTGAACAGATTACCCAAGATCCTCAGCTTGAAGCTCGTTGATTGGATGTTTTAGCCGCAATGCACGCTGGGATATGGTGTTAATAAGATATGATATCCGAAAACATTTTTAAAAAATAAAATAATACTTTATTCCGAGTGTTCTTGCTTTTCTCTTTGGAGGGTCATTATACATAACGGCATTGTAATACACGGTTCGGCTTCATTTAAATATTACATATCTGCCGTAGTTCTTATTTATAGAGCCCTGATGAGAGGACTTCCTGGCACAACACTTGAAGAACCTGCCGCAAAACTGAATATGCTGAACATGGCTGGATCATAGATATATCAACAATTTAAACAAGCATCTTACATTTCTTTTCACAAAATACGTCTCTTGGGCAGTATCAATACTAATCTCGGCTGACCTTTATATTTTTATCTCAATTGGTAGATATAGGTTTAATAGGTTATATTTACACCATAACGTGTACAGCCCTGATAGAAAAGACTTGTAGTTTTTAAAGATTTTACTGATTGTCTTTGAATATAAGAATGTAAATTACTGAGTTTGAGAGAAATAGTCAGGGGTTTTGTGTGGATGGGAGGACACATCTATGGAATCACGAATTCAATAAGCTATACCATTAAATGACGGATATATGCCCTTTCTGTCTGTGATGTTTTTACAAATCAGCATATTAATGCTGTTAGAAAGTAAACATGAGAAATAGTATAGCCAATATCCTGTTAATAATGTAAAAGCATGAATAAAAACTAAATATCCTTCAGATGTTATCACATACATAAGTGTCCTACACCTAATGAATACAAAGTTATTCATTAGGATGCCGTGTGTCTACCTTGTGTGCACCGCCCTAGTGGTTAAAGCGGCGTTATTGAACTTTATTTTTGTTGAATAAGATGTTATTGGTAATGACAAAATATTAAGAAGCACATACTTCATAGGGCGCGGCAAGTAGAAGTCAATGATAGACATATAGAAATATAAAAAATCAGAAGATACTGTAAAGTGATCTCTACAATAAAAACAGTTTAGTGACGACATGTACAAAGATCATTAATATGAGGAGCTGCCTCTGCAAATATCAGAAAACGAATGAACCTTTATTAACACATGTGAAAGAATACTTTAGGTAAGGTTTTCTTTCAAATAAGAAAAAGCTTTGGGGGTTAGTCTACAGGAGTGTAAATATTGGAAGCGCGCTGACAAAGTACTTAACGGTCTACGATATATGCTTTTCCTGCAATGCTGTAACGTGCAAGCCACTTATTTATAACTGATAGTTATACACATAGATGATACTCTTATGCGTATCGTAGATAGAATAAGAAATGGCAAGAAGTATGGACAGTTTAATAGTGGAGTCTATAGACACATAGTTGCATAGATGTCTGTTGAATGCCATGTTGAGGAACCGTTGGCTGGACCAAGTTTATTCATCATTGCCATAAACTACACCGCTAGTGTGTATATGCATCAATACAACTTAGAAAATCTGAAATCTTGAAGAGGGAGTGCAAACATAAGAATTTATATACAGCCCTTTAATGAAACTATTTAGTAGAGAATAACGAGCTAATTAATATACTTAATAGACGATCGCAGATGAATATGTTATAGTCTTCTCAAGCACCCAAACTAAATCAAATCAGTCTCTCCTGCGATTGTGGCACTTGAAAAATCACCGTTTTCCTGCAATTTTACTCAGGTGTGCACTAAAGTCTGCTTAAAGGCGTTGTTCTATATTACATCATTAATAGAATCTGCAAAGTAACTTAAATAAATGTTCTAGTGCGAGTAAAGAAATATCAGGTTAACCCATTTGTAGTGGGAGTTATAATTACCAAGAGCTAACAATGAGCTGTCATGTGGGATCATAGTATTAATGTAGCTCCATACTGGGATACAAGCGATTTTCATCCCATTTAAAATACATTATTTTAAATGTGTCACGCACCAATTAGTATTATTTTATTTTTTAAAAATGTTTTCGGATATCATATCTTATTAACACCATATCCCAGCGTGCATTGCGGCTAAAACATCCAATCAACGAGCTTCAAGCTGAGGATCTTGGGTAATCTGTTCAGTGGGTTTGTGGTGTGTATTGCTCGAAAGGTCCCGTCTGTTTCCGGTGACTTTATTTACGGCTAAAAATCATGCTAAAAAGCCCAAGATTATAGAATTAAACGAATAAATAAAAACAAGGATAATTCCATTTCAAAGAGCTTGATGCTCGGCGTAACCTTGGCGCACTGCCACTCCAACATCACGGGGTTTGTCAACGGGACTGTAGTCCCAAACGATAGCTGGGGATTATGGGTAGTGTAGTG